TTGTCTGAGAGTATGTGTCCGAGTGCCTCTTGCTCAAAGTCTTCAACTCAAAAACCAGGGAAGCTAGGAAGCTGAAATTTTAGGAGCATGTTCCGTGTTCTTGTGCGATCTGGCGATTTTGAGAAGCTAACTCCCATGTATACCTAGATCTCACGTATGACCGCGTAAAAGTTTTGGCCAGAAATTTTCTCCTCGGGAAATGAACAAGATGGAAGGCGAAAATTTAAAATATAGCTTTCTATCAGCGTTCAGCCCTGGAATTTCAAATTCAGCTTTCGCAACCACTTTCGTCTCGCGTATGGATACATAAATTTTCACGGTAGGAACTTTTTAGTTTGGGAATCAGACAAGACAGAAAGCCAGTATTGTTGACGAAGGTCTTTTGTTCATGTTTGATTCTACAAACTTAAATCCATCTCTCACGAGCGCAAATGTTTCAAGTACGGTGCACGTGAGATTTTTCTTAGGAAGTTCTTAGATTAAGAGCCAGACAGGAAGCATTTTGACTATTTTTGCGCATAGCAAACTGTAAAGCAGTGAACATTTTTAACAGCAATCGTCCGCTGAAAAAAAAACCCCACAAAAGCATGATCGCATTAGTTCCCCTGGTACAAAAAGATATTTATTATATTTTCACGAATGAATTACAAACAAAACAAAATTGTATTTGCATCTGACTTCTAGCGTTTCTCGGATGTTTGGTGTTGCAGGACGCATTGCGGTGTGCGCAACGTTTTACCATCGATATCAGTTGCAATTGGTGATTTTCATTGGGGTCGCTTGATATGGAAATCTCTAATTTTTGCTCATCTTCCACCGAGGTAAAATTTTTTACAAAAAAGTTAACAACAGATGACTCAGCGGATGGAAAAGCGGTTTTGTCCGTTGTCCCGTCTATGATTTACTGCGTACTTATCGAAAAGCCAGTAGTTTGACCGCCTGCTCTGGAATTAGCTATTATACCCAGTTTCTTTTGTGCTGGAACAGTTGCAAAAAATGCATATTATCACACTTCAGTCCATGCGTGTATGCGTTTTTATGTGTATATGCATGTGTGTGTGTGTGTGTGCGTGTGTGTGTGTGTGTGTGCGTTTGCGTGTGTGTGCGTTTTTTCACTTTTAACTCAAGAACCAGTAAAGCTAAGGAGGTGAAATTTTAGGGCAGCGTTATATGCTTACATACGATATTGTAAATTCATATAAATCTCTCACCTATAATAAGGTCTCATTTATGGCCCCGTGAAAGTTTTGGCGCAAAAGTCACTAATTCAGATGCCAGAAAACTAGAAAACTGTAATTTCGAAGGAGTGTTCGCATCCGTGTGCGATCCAAGGGCTCCAAATTTCGGTTTTTCGTACACTTGCATTTCACTTAACGATACGTGAAATTTTTGTTGGAAGATTTCGCAGCTTACGAACCGGACAACATATCGACTATTTTTACACACACCAAAATGTAAATCAGTGAAAATTCTTAACAGCAAACGTCGTTTGGACAGAACTACGCAAAATGCATGCTCACACCAGCTAACCTGGCGCGCAACGTTATTTTTTTTTTTTTTTTTTTGAATAGTACTAAGACAGAATTATTAATGATGTGTGATTTATGCCCTTCAGGCTACCAATTTTTAAGCTTAAAAAAGAGGTGAGATATAGATTTTCACATGAAATTCTGCATAAGCTTGATTCCCTCTTTGGCTTTTTTTCAGTTGTAAAAAGTTTATAATTTTTATTTTCAGGGTGTTAGCGGCATTTGCGTATGCACAATTGTTTAGGGTTCCATTGGAAAACATTGTACAGACTTATTTTCGTTATTTAACGTGTTTCCTGAACTTACTGGAATTGTTTTGTTTGGGGTTGCTCAGTGCCGTCTCCTCGAAAGATGACCACTACCGACATGTTCTGGCCTTCTCCACTTTTCAGGTTTCGCCTTTTAAAGCAACTTTTTATTGCAAATTTTTCATGTGATTTCTCCTGCCCTTACTTATTGGCTACAGTCAAATTCTTTCGTTTATGTCCAAATTATTAGTGGTATTGTCCTGCTTCTCAAGACTGCGTTCTTTTAATCAAACGCCTGGCATATGTATGCCCTGCTTAGTGAATAAGGATTGACGTATCCTAAGATATCGGACGTTTGTGAATATTTTTGTGTTTATTTTTTATGCATCTGAATTTGGCAAATTTTTTTGAACTACTTCGAGGCAGTGCAAGCTGATTCTTGCATGATTGTAGCATACGAGTAATATTAAGGACTTAAATAGGGCAGGACTAGAACTAACTGTGTATATATAGATGTAGAAATATAGTTGGTGTAGAAAAAATAAGTGAGTAAGAGTTAAGACGTTTCGGTCCATTAAGTCATATAAGTTCACCTAAACAGAT